TCAGGCACCTAGGAAACCAAGATCTTCTTTCTCTCAAACATCAGGTTAAAAAGTAAGTGTGATGCATTTCTCCCTCCGAACAGAGCAGTGAGCCTGCTCAGAAAACTGTGGACATCCAAGGCATGACATGTCCTGGGATGGGATAAGGTTGAGCAGGAAGGCAGCTCCTGCTCCCTGCAGACCTGGGAGTTAACCTGCTGAGCGACAGGACGGCCAGGTCTGAGCCCTGCCTTCCTGGAAACAGGAACATTGTGAGCTCAGGGCAAGCGTTCCAGATCACCCATGTTCCAACCAAACTTAGTTAGCTATATAAGGGCTACTTTATAGATTTAAAAATAGCAAATTACTGAGCAGTTCAGAGTCAGAGGCCCATGACTAGTCTGTAAATCAGCTAACCAGCCCAAGAAGGAACATTATGCTTCACAAAAACAAAAGAGAAACCACTCTGGACTGCAGGGAAAAGTGAAGTCTCACTCAAGCTTTCTGTCCCTGGGAGCACAGCAGGGCTCTGAGTACCTGCTTCTCCTGGCATTGCCCGAGTACACCCGAAGTCAACCTGAGACTCTCCAACAGCGCTGATGCAGATGTGGAAGGTGAGACTTCTATATGCATACACACACAAGTAACATCAATGAGAGCGTGGACATGCCGAAGTAGTAGACCTACTCTCAGTAAATCAAATAATTTCTACGGCATAAGGGGTCCCAGCTTCACACCACATGGCTAAGTTCAGGACCAACAGGATATAAAGTCATCTTTGCTGTGGAAGGAAAAAGAATAGGTGGTTTTGGGCCACACCAGGGAAGACCCAGAATCACAATTTTTTGGACAAAAGTAACCTACTAAAAAAAAGTGCTTCCTCCCCTCTTCCTGCAAAATAAAAGGCGGTGAATGTAGCAGCATAACACAGACTCCTTTGCAACACATCTGCTGTGCTAATAGGCTTCTGGTCTCCCTTGGAAATTTTGATGTAGTCTTAAACCTACTTTATAACCATCTCCCCTCAGCTTCTTTTCAACTAGGAACAACAGAGGGTAAAAAGCCTTACTTCTGTTACTATCAGTTCACAGGAGATTGGGAAAAGCAGCCTGCATGCTGGTACCATAACAAGACAAAGCAAGAAGAAAACAAAAAAGCTATCCATTCTGCACTTGGCAACTAAAGCTGAAACCTGGAGCTGACCACCAATCTGGGCTCTACTCTGGACTTCTCTGCCAGTTTGCTTTGAGGATCCCAGAGGTCAAGCAAGGATTTTAGTTCTGTGGCATGCCATTTTCTTCTACCAGAGCTTAGTCCTTCAGTGATGAGTCTGTTGTACTAGCCAGTAGGGAAAGACTATGCCCATTGCAAAAAGCTTGGTAATCCCATCCAAACTGGAGACTCAAGTCCTGGTTGTCTGAGTAATCAACCAAAATGCTGGTCAGCTGTTTGTTGAATGCTTTGTCCCTTGAAACAATGGGAATACCTTTTGAAGCTTTAAACTACTTTCTCACTGTTGATTAAATTATCCTATTTGCTGGGTCCTTGAACAGTGGCCTCCTTCCATAAAAGTTTGGGAAGTTGCACATAAAGCGAGCACTGCCCTTGGGAAGGAAAGATTTAACTGAGGTTGGTTGACAGTTTTGCTTTGCCAGGAAGCTCCTCTTCTCCTTTATTTTTCTCTTGGCAGATTGCACTTTTTCTTCCTCTTCTGCAAGGATTTCATCTGGACACAAATGGAACATTGCATATTTTAATTTTAGGCTTAGACGCAGAAGCAATTGGAAAAAGTTTGTTGTGGGTCATAATCTGAAAGTTGACCCTGGTCCCAAAAGGAATATTGAGGTTTTGCCTGCTGCTTCTCAGGAGAGGAAAACAAAAAAGTTTGTTTTAGTTTTAGAATGAATTACAGACTTTGTCTCAGAATGCAAGAGGCCTGCAAAGCTCCTATGACCAGGCAAATCCTTATCAGATCTATTCCTCTTTCCTTGGTTCAATGGCAATAGGGTGGGATGGGAATACACAAAGAGCTTGTCAGTTTGCATGCATTCAGGGGGAGCATCCAAAAGCATCTTCTGCATTGTCCTCCTTGATCCTGCCCCCCCCAGTGCAGAAGGACTTAAGCTAGAGACAGGCAGACCAGGGCAGGACTTGTCTCGATATCCTTCTGGCTAGCTTTCTTGCTCTCCTAGCCACTCAGAGCAGATCAACTCCAGTGACTTTCCAGGGAAGTAGGCTTTGTGACTTACAGGCGGCCTTGCTATGGGCTAATACATGCAGCCCCAAAACACCAGCTTCTTGCACTAAAGTCTCGCAAGGAGACCATAGCATACTTACTGCCTCAGGAGACAGAACTGGACTGCCTGCCTGAATGCAGATTAAAAACTAGAAGGCTTCCCAACAGTGAATCCACGTTTCCCTTCGCACTGATTGACAGGTCGGTCTACTTCCAAGTCTGCACAAAACACAGAGCTGATGTCACAGGATTTCAGGCCCATTATAAAGAAGAAGAAATAGCTTCTACTGCTACTAACTCATGCCCTACTCATCTTATGAAGCTGGTCTCTTAACTTGCTTGCATGATTCCTCCCAAGCAGTATTTTTTTGAATTATCAGAGATAATCTATGACTTTCTGAAACACACTGCAGTGAATATAGTACTTCACAGTCAACACAAGAAGGAACTCCCTGGGGACCTCTGCCCTGCCAGAGGCACACAAATTGCAGTGACAGCACCAGCAGGTACAGTCACCCAGACGTGCCCATGCGTGGGGAGCAGGCAGGGAAGGTCATCAGCAGATCCTCCAGCCTGGTAATTAAGTGCTAGCCCAAATAGCTAACCTTCTGAAAACTAAGGCAAAACAATAAAACAGGTCAGCTATCGCAGAAGACAGGACAGTTCTGGATGTTGTCTCAATTGTCCAAAGCATTTGCACCAATGTCCCACATAGGTGCTGCAGATAAAGCTGGCAGAAGTTTCTGACAGTGGCTTGTATGGGGCTGAGCAAACATTTGAACTAAAGCTTTTTAATACTAGGCCCTGCACCTCATTTTCCTTTAAGGTTTCAAAATGTAAAATTAACTATACTTCATAAAAAACACAAACCCATGAAAATATTGTTTTAAAAGTTAAGGAAAAAAAACAAAAAAAACCCAAAAAACTTAAAAATCACTCCATAGAGAAGCTCCAGCCCTCAGTAAAGCTTTGAATGGAGGCCAGAAGCTCAGCAGGGAAACGTGCCCAGCGGCAGCCAGCTCACCATGGGCCTCTCTCTTACCATGCTGAAATCCTCCAGGTCCAGCGACGGGACCAGTCCCGGCCCCACTCCTCCCACCTGGGCTAGTGCTGGGCACTGAGATGGGGCAGGACAGTGCTCTCACGAGTGTCATGAAGGGCAGCACGCGACTAGGACATAAAGGAACCCGTGATGGCAGGACAGCCACCACAGAGCTGTCCAGGCACCAGTTTGGGGACATACGGGCATGCAGGGTTTCTCCCTGCCACAAGGCAGGGTCACCCAGACCTTATGAGTCACCAAAAGGGTGAAAATCTGCAGCCTCTAGCCCTCACCACCTCTTCCTGAGCAGCAAGTTTAACCCCTCTCCTCTCAAGGCATGCGAAGGGGTATGGTTCTTCAGGCAGAAGGATTTCTTTCCATTTGCTTGAAAAATAGAAGCTTGACATTTCAAGGTGTTATGCATAAAGTCCATTGGACATGAAAACTGAAGCTACCAAACACCAGAACTCAAGGAGGACCCAGAGCAACCAGACACATCGGAGCGATGCTTGCAAAATGCACCATTATCTGCACGATCCCTGCAGGAACGACTGTCACGGAAACTACAGGGAGAACATGGGAGAGCCAGGAGCGTGAGGCCACCAGACCAGACCTCACTCACAGCCTGTCTGTTGCCCTGCTCCTGAGAAGGTCACCAAAACCAAACCTCTGGGTCACAGCTAACCACTGACTAGACCTGAAGAGCTCAGATTCAGGTTTCCAGAAAGGCTGAATGCTCAAACTGCCGTTGAAACCAAATATAAGGCAGGCATAAAAATTCTAAATGAAATGAACCTCCAAATTTATTACCCAAAAGCAATGAATAACTCGCCATCATGGCTTTGATTTGGAAGTCTTAGAAAGAAAAGAGGGATAAACACTCTCACAATAAAGACAATTTCGTTCCAAGTCTCTGAAGATACCACCATATTTCACTGAGAAAGATTCAGTGAAGTTTGGAGGAGAAGGGGGACTGTATTAATTCAAGTTGACATGCATTTGCTCAGACTAAAAGGATACATTCACTAGAGCAGCTCATTAAAAGACTGTGTATTCATTTGTCCATGACTTTGGCCCCTTCTTATGGGGTGATAAGCACTCATAAAAGGAAAGTCCATGGAGAAACTGTGTATTCAGCAGGGTTTGGGTCACGTATTGGAAAACGGAGCATGCGTCAGGCACTGAGTGATTAGTAACACTGATGCATGTAATTCACATATTGTAATTTTAATACATACATAAACCTGAATTTCAGTCCCCTAACCTCAGATTTCTCTCTGAATATAATACTTTCCCAGATTCACAGAAAGAGATTGTATTAATTTTTCTATTACCATAGATTTCCACTAATTTTGCCCTTAGTTTTCAAGCCTCCCAGCAAACGTATGGGACAAACAGGGAGGGAAGATGACAGACAGGTCATTATGGGAGAGGGGGGGGAGGGGGGGGGGAAAGAGCCACAAACCAGCAAAGATTTATCACTTTTTCTTGGGAAAAGTCCGAGCCTTTGCACACACCCCAAACAATCACAACGTAAGCCCTGTGAACTCTGGTTTAGAACACTTCCATTAATAAAAAAAGAAGTTATTAGAGTAAGCTTTACAGAAAAGGTCACAGCCAGGCCTGGGAACAGTTTAAGAAAAGAAAACACCAGCCCTTAACTTAAGGTCACGTACTGCTTTTTCAACTGCCCAAACGTGTCTTTCTTGAGAAGAATTTGCCGCTGATCTGAAGGCTGGAGTACATATAAGTACAGGGAGAGAGCAGGGCCATCTGCAGCGCTCCGCGTTCCAGCGCCCGCGGCCACGCAGCCAGACGCAGCCAGCGAGCCTTCCCTGCTTCACCACCACTGCTTCAGCTGATAACAGAGATGATAATATAAAAGCATTTATTTAAAGAACTGAAAGGCTGTCCAACTGCAAAGTAATAACTAATGGATAAAACAGAGAAGGCAGAAGACTTGACACTAACCAGTAAGTAAGAGAATCTGCTGTAGTTTATACAGTTTTTATAATGTTTTATATTATAAGGCAGTTGTACCAACTTTCAGCTATTAAATAGATTACAGAGTAAAGGGACCACATGCGTAATTTTATATGCATTTTTTTCCCAGTCAAGAGACTGTCTCTTAATTACATATTTCTGTAGGCTACCAATGCTCTCAAATATATTTTTAACTTTTAAATAACTACAGTTATATTTTTTAAAATTGCCAAATGAAGGTGAACAATTAATTATTCACTAGCTATGCAAACCACAAACAAATTACCTAAAACAAAATCCTAACTGTAAATAAAAACTGAAAAACCAAGACAGACAAACTCCCACAACTATTAGTTTGAGCTACAAAACAGACTAATGACATCCCACTAGACTACAGATCTACAACTAAGAATTGTCCCGCATTTGTGTATACAGTTTAGGTATAATTAACAAAAGCTGTTTTTCTTAAGTATCTACCTTTATTTTAACTTATGAGCAAGGAAACATAACCGTATAAAACTCAAATAGTAAAAAATATCAGAAAATAGAATTAAAAATCAAACATTTTAAAAGATATGGTCTATTAAAATAGAATGTTAAAAGGAATAATTCTTTATTTGAGCCAAATTTTTTTTCAAATTACTCTGTTTTAAGGGTAATAAAACTATTAATAATTAAAATATTACTGACATACTTAGTATTAGAATAATTCCAAATTTAATAAGGCAATTGCTTCTAAAAGTTACACTTTAATCCTCTAATATGAAATTGTAACAAAATGTTCCTAATATAACAATCCTAACTTTTCCTCTTGCATCTAATACTCCCTAATTAAGACATACCTGGCTGGACATGGGAAGGGTCTGGGTTTTTTTTTTTGTTTGGTTGATTTTTTTTTTAAGGTTTGATTCAAAATGCAAATATTTGGAATACTTGAGTTAGATCCAAAAGAGATTATGTGCAAACAAGACTAAAGATTGCCCAAGTTTCAGTGTAAGTACTGGGGTCTGCATAGACACCTTCATAGCTTTAATAGTTTAACGATAATACATTCTACTTTTAGACTAGTTTAGGGCCTTGTCTATAGCTCAGAAATAAAAATAGAATGAAAATTTTAACCTCTTATCAGAAAAATGAGGCTGCAAAAATTTCATATGAAAAAAAGTAGCATAAGGACTCCTGGACAATAAGAAGAAATGAAGCCACTGGTGGGTTTTGCAAGAAGGAAATAACACTCTACCCTTGAGGTGTCCTCACTCTGCAACCAAATTAACTTATGCTACCCTGCAAACAGCTTACTATTTTAACAAGAAAATAAACAATCTTATCTGCAATAACTGATCTTTATACCTATTGGCTCAGCCCACTGGCTTTGTCCTTCAGAAGACCAGAAATGAATGATAAAACATCAAAAAAATCACATATGATCTAATTGTGTTTAATAACTTTGGTCCAGAAAACTTGCTATAAAACACTGTTAACACTAAACATCGGCTGTGTTAGATAGCGTCATTTTATGTGGCACACTTCCTCCTGCCAAGTTAACAACAATAATTCTGGTTCTGTTTTTAAAAATGACACTGTTGAAAGTGATCCTGAGAGCTAGCTGTTTATGCAGCCAGGCCATCAATGACTGTCCAGAACTCCTGAGCAGATGCAGGTTGAGCCAAAACATGCGGGCAGCGAAGCTGCTCGGCATCTCTAGAAGTCACTCACCTTCACTCACATAGTTAACCCAAACTCCTCTCGCCTTCCAAGGCAGGGCAGTACACTAAGTTGCTCTGATCTAACCAGGAGATGAAAAGTCAGTTTATTTTCCTCATTGCAAGGTTGCCTGAAAATGTAAACTTGCCTTTTTCTTTTTTTTCTTTTTTTTTTTTTTTTTTTTTTTTTTAAAATAAGAGTGAGCAGATGGGGAGGAGAGGAAGGAAGGAAGGAAGGAGAATATGCAGATCAGGAGATTAGCTCAAAACAGTACTCTGATCTCTACCAATTTTAGAAACATATTTCATATCCAACCAGAAATAAGATTTCATTCACAATTGTAACCAAAAAGTCAAAACTTTCTACAGTACATACCGCTTCCTTCCGCGAAGCCTTCATGGGACTCCCAACAGCCAACAACTGGCAGCAAAAGTTTGTAACACATTGAATTTACAAGCTTGGGAACTGTTTTTTCAGATGCAAGGCATGAGAAACACACATATAATCATTAAGTCTGAGGGAAAAAGATTTGTTTTCCTTTGAATTTCTGAATATTGACTGTACTGTACACACACGTTGAAGAAATTTTTGCTCTCCCCCCAAGAATTATATAACGAGCCAAAGGAGTAGAGGCAGACAGGCAAGACAATCTCAACAAAGAGATATCACAAAAAATGTCAAGGTTCCATTCTATGTTTTTCATACCAGTAGCATTAGTTAAGGTTAGACTATGCAGTCAACTTCTGCCGAACTGACCAACCTGAGCGCTCAGAGACGGGCGAGGGAAGCCAGCCGGGATCAGGACATGACGCTGCCCAGGGCGAGGCGAAGGGCCCCAGCAGTGTGACGGGGATCAGGGCGCTACCAGCCCACGCGACACAACGCGCCCGCTTGCCCGGTCACTCGAGGACCTTCAGCAGTCACAAACGATGCTACGCAGGAACGATGGCAGGCAGCTGCGCAGAGCGCCGGGTCGGGTGCACCAAGGAGAAAGCAGACAGTATGCAAGGACATACGGCCTGTGAGCGTGAGCAGCACTGGCCTGTGATCTTAAGAAAGCCCCTCCACAAAAGACAGTTCAGGGTTGGAAGAGGGCTGGAGCTCAGTATTTTTTGTTTGTTTCATCCAACGTTCAGGAAATCAGGACTTCATCAATAAAACAGAATCGCATGAAACGATACTTCCCTCCATCACCGATTGTTGCCTCCTAATGAGAATATCCTAAACTTTGACAGTTCTATCAAAAGTGGAAAAAGTATTGCTAGGAGGACAGTCAGATTCCTTCACATCTCTGTTCTGACCCTTACTAACCTTACACAGCAGACAGGACGTGCCCGGCTTCGCTGAAGCTCAGCGGGAGCCACGGCTCTTCACAGGGATGCAGCAGCGGTGCGGGGACCGTCCTCAGACATGGAGCCGCTCCCAGGTGGTGTTCGTGGGGGACACTGCTCTCGCCCACTTTCTGCTTCACCGTTTTCACAGAAAGGCAGCTCCTTCAGCCCTCTGCCTTCCCACACGGACACACAAGTGTTCCCGAAAGGAAGAGCTGGAAGGCAGAGGAGCAAGAAACCAAGGCCCTGGGGAAGTCGCACACAACGTAGCCCCTCTTTCTGTGAGCCATGCAAGAGGAAACATGCATTGAACACTGCCGAATACAATGCTGTCTCACAATTACTTGGCTTTTACCTCTTGTGATGGGAATATTTTCTTATTCTTTATCCTAATCTCACTATTTATCCCATTTTCCTCTCTTACAGCGTAGGCACCTATGACAAACAAGAACAACTACCCAATTTAAAAAGATAATTTTAAAGCGCTGAAGTGGCACATAAGAGAATAAAAGCCTGCAAAATATGTTAATTCTTCCAATGTAGACATTGCCTTGTGACAAATGTTATAATGAGAAGAGAAAAATAACAAAATCTGTCTCCTAGCAAACCTGCAAAAAGCTGCTTAGGAAGTCAAACCTGCCAGCATATCTCCACGTTATGCTCATATATCTCATACGTCCTCACCCAGGAACGTGCCACACTCTCTGCTGTATCGACACCTTTACGAAGATGTACAGTAGCAGCTACACGCCACAACGTGCACGGGCTTTGGGAGGAGATGCCTTGTCCTTAAGCGGTCCCTCCGCCTGGCCCCACCAGTCCTGACCCTCTGGAAGGCGCAACAGGACACCTCCAGCAAGCAACCCTAAGGACCAGGATATCACCCTGCTACCTGCAAAGCACAGCTCACATGATCCCACCACTTGTAAAGCACAATCAGTAAGCCCTGCTTTCACTTCCCACTGCTGCTCAGGCTCCCAAAGAACGAGCAAGCATGAGAGAGGAGGGAGATGCTTGGCAGTCTACCCAGGCGATCTCCAGCCACAGGAGCTGGAGAAGGTGTCCTGACCCATCCTGGCACTGGCAGAAGCTGCTGCATGAGCAGGACGGGCGTTATGATTTACGTAGCCAAAGATACGCTTCCAAACTGGATTCTGCTTTGGGATTTGCTTTTACTAAGTTAGCTGGAGACTGCAAGCTCAGATCACCACCTATATTCCCATCAGATTAGAAAGCAAATTTTTTAAAAGCTACATCTCTTAGCACAACTCAGCATAATCTGCAGTTGCTGTTTTGTGCATTACATTCCTCTATATCTAGATTTCTCAGAATATCAGAGAGAAAATGTGGCATGCTCTTCCTCCCTGATAGACTCCATTTTGCAGTTTAAAAGAGATTTCTGAAGACAGTAACCACGATCAAAAATTCCTGGCCCAGTAATCACACTGTATATTTGTTTATCAAGTAGTTGCATTAATTTCCATAAATAGCTGAAAACATCCATCTGGTACTGAAGAATGTATGTGATACTCAGGGCAAAACAAGAAATTTGTAAATATTATTCCTATGTTCAGTAAAACAGTTATGAACTTTAGACTTCTGAAATTTGTCAGTCAAGTTGTCGAAGTCAAGAAAAGGGTGTCTTACTGCTTTTGGAAGAGTTACAAACGATACCATAAGAATTTGAACATGGAGGAACTAGACATTGTAATGGTTTACACAGTTTTCTTCTCATATATTTTGCCAAGACAACACGATTCATAAACTGAGAAATTTCAGAGTGTTCATACCTTTCACCAAATCAAATCTGTTCATGTGGTGAATTACTGTCGCTGGTTTTGCATAGCTACCTTTATACTATTTGTATATAATTATTATACATATACCTATACACACATACACACACACAAATACACACTTTATGCTGGACCAAGCATTTGAACATAAAAAGGCTATTCAAGTATGAAAGGATATTCTCACATGCAAATCAAGAACTACTGGGTGCTAAAATATACCGTCTAACAAGATGTTAGCAAATAGCAGCAATAACACAATAGCAAGGTTACAAGAAGTGAAGGGGAAAAAAAATAATTCCCAAAGTTTAGTCATCACCTCCATTAGCATTTCAGCAAAAAGCTACTAAATTCACCCACCAAGCAGTTTGCATCAAATGAGCAGTATTCACAGTTTCCAGATGAACCACAGCATTGAATGGAGTGAATATCTATGCCCATTTTCTGCTGCACATCAGTCAGTAGACCACTGAAAGCTTTCACACTAGAGAAACTGGGATGTTCTCACTGCAGCGGTTTACAGGCAGCTTGAACAAGAATGAAACAAGAACAAGCATGAAAGGGGAGCTACTATACAAAGTGGAAGTAGACCTTCTGCCAGCTACACACAAACCATCCCTGGCAACAACAAACCCCAAGAGAAGGGTGCTGCTGGAGCTGTGGTTATCTGGATCCAGAGGTACCAGGCAGCTGCGCAAAGCCAGTCTGCTTGACTAGTTCTTTATCAAAGCACAAGAATTAGATATCATTATACCATGTTCCCATACTTCCTACAGGACCTACACTGTGACTTGTAACTGATCCTGGAAACAGGCTGGTGAGGTGATGAAGTTTCCTATTAATGCCAAATTATTCAGAGCAGCAGGGACAAGGCCTTTCAGAAAGGGTTCACAGTTCTGACTCTGACTAGGGGACAAAAAGGGCTGATAACATTTAAAATAAACATCAACGACGTGATGCACAAGAGTGGAAAAAGCACTCTAACCCTGCATACACAAAGATGGGTTCTGGGTTGAATATAATTACTGTACCTCTGCAGCTCCAGTCCTAATAAATTTTGAAGTCCTGCTAAAAGTACCAAGAATCATCTGCAGTACTGACAATCTAAATACAAGCTGTGCTATGATAAACCCTCCGCACCACAGCATTACGCTGTGCCATATTACCACATACAACCCTAACAACTGTTTTTTCCCATCCTACACATAGATCACCCAGGTAAAGAGGAAGCCCTGCGCCTGAGAATGGAAAGCACTCTAGACCTTTAACGCCTTCACGAATAGCACAACAGTCGAACCCAGAAAGGTAAGGACATGCCATTGATCTTGAAAGACTTACTGATTCTAGCCTGGACTTTGGCCTCTTTCTCAGCAGCAGGCACTCCCAAGATAATCCTTCATAGTATGATGCCTCAGCACAACAAATAACTCAAACTTCCCAAGTCATTTAATATCTGCTACTAAGAATAAGCACAGAACCACCCACATGTGCCTACTTTGTCTTAAAAAGCCCTACAGATCAGGGAAAAACTTCCAAACATAACATGCAGAGAGGTTTCCACTCAGATGCTCCTACCGTACTAACAGAACATGTATACAGCAGGCACTGGTATGAAGAGAATAGTTTTCAAATACTGTATGTTAACACCTTAAATAAAAGTGTTATTCATACTGGTGCTTTCCAATTGGCTTGTGGGGGGGGGGGGAAGAATACAGAGGGAAATAAGGAGATCCTCCTAGCTTTAGCAATTTTGTCTCAAACCTCATGCATTATCATCTCGCAGGCCTAATGCATCTATTCACATAGTGGTTATATTCCAACATCCACTCTCTACACCATCTTTTCCTTTAAAAACCCAAACAAAAATAAAATCCTGATGACTGGAGTTTAAACAAAGATAGGAGGGCAGGGCTGTTTATGAGAAAACCACCAGGAAGAGATGCAGGCTTTGGATGCAAATACTGATAATACATGTTCCATCATTCCACTTACTAATGCAAGTTCCAAAACCGAGCCTAGGCTGGTTAGCTTTTACCGTATCTTCAAAAGAGATACGGATAACAATACACCAAAGGAAACAGCTTTCTCTGTTTGAAAGAAAACTTCCATTTCCCATTACCATAGGGTTGCATTCAGGTTCCAGTCTACTACACAGAGGCATCAGCTATTGACTTTAAATTATGGCAATAAAGAAATTCTCTATTTTCTAAAAGACAACGTGGGTTTTTTCCCAGCTCTGTGGCCTGTGTTTTCCAGTTGCTTAGGTTTTGGTTTGCCAAATGCAGCAGCAATATATCCGTCAGCCTTTCCTACAGAGGATGATCCATCCCCATAAACCTTCCGTCAAAGTAAAGCAGGCAGCAGATGTGATTTCTTGAAGCCTTCATAAGGATCCTTAAAATTTAAATTTGAAAATACAGCTCTAGCTTGCACCTTATGTATGCCTATATATTGTGCTACTAACAGCAAAAGTTAAACTGTGCTACCTGCACATACAGTTTTCCTTTAGGAGATATTAGCATATACTTAGATCTTTACCAGGCTTGACTCGAACAGAACAGGTGTTTACCATCACTCTATACAAAACAGAACACTTGAAAAAGCAATATGTATCTCTTACATATACTTTCTGGTAAACCAGTACTAAAAATAGATAGTGATCCTTAAGAGTTAATGAAATGCATTCAGAGTCAGGCATCACTGTGCTTTCGCCACCCTCCTAGTTCCCAGCACATAGGCTTATATACAACAAAAGGAGCAGTACAGGACATGAAGACAATGGATTTAAGTCACATGGAGAACCAAATGGATTCTCTATCCAAAACAGCACTGTGCCACTGACCACCATCAAAAAGTGAGATGGCACCACTTGGAAAACACTCACTATGTATCCCTACAAGAAACAGTAATTTGGTAATTTCTGAGAAATAAGTCACACTGATTTTGAGGTCAGAGTAGAAATCTTATACTAATTAATGGAAAGCACAGCACTATTTTACCTTACTGAGATAATCTTTCCTCTGCTTCTAGGAATAAACTTATTATAAGATGTTCAACTCAAGTACAAACTCATCGGAAAACAACTGCAGCCACAGCACAGTAGTAACTAAGAAAGTCATTCCACTGGTTTACTGTTTAATTTTCATAGGAGGACTCTTGCTGAACAGTATGGCAGCATGGATCTTCCTGTACGTTTCTAGCAAGAAGAGCTTCATCATCTATCTCAAAAACATTGTCATTGCCGACCTTTTAATGAGCCTGACATTTCCTTTCAAAATTCTGGCCGATTCGGAAATTGCACCTCCACAGCTCAACACTTTTGTGTGTCGATACTCTGCTGTTGTTTTTTATACAAACATGTATATTGGAATAACGTTTTTTGGCCTCATAGGTTTTGACAGATACTACAAAATTGTAAAGCCTTTATTTACCTCCGTTGTTCACACAGTTAACTATAGCAAGGCTATCTCCATCATCATATGGCTACTGTTAATATTTTTATCACTTCCAAATATGATTTTGACTAATGAAATTACTAAAGCAAATTATTCCAGAAAATGTATAAGTCTTAAAAGTGAGCTTGGCAGACAGTGGCATAAGGTGTCAAGCTATATTTCCATAGGAATTTTCTGGGTTGTGTTTCTTCTGTTAATTGTTTTTTACACCTCAATATCAAAAAAGATATATAGCTCCTATAAAAAGTTCAGAAAGAACTCAGACATGACCAAGAAAAAAACCAGTCGTAATATATTCAGTATCATGTTTGTATTCATCATTTGCTTTGTACCATACCACCTCTGCAGAATACCATACACTCTAAGTCAAACTAGCTCCCGATTCAACTGCCAGTCAACAAAAGCTCTCTTCTATGCAAAGGAGTTCACGCTCATCTTATCTTCTGCAAACGTGTGCCTTGATCCCATTATTTATTTTTTCCTCTGCTTGCCCTTTAGAGAAAAGCTGTATCAAAAACTGCATTGCAAGCTGAAAACTTCAGGTGAGGTTGAAATTTCTAAACCCAGAAGGTCAAACACTCTTCGGGAAAGTATAAACATTGTGTAAGGTCAGACGGGTAAAAATAACGCATGCTTTTCAAGGAAGACTGCAAATGTCTCAAAAAAGAAACTGAACAAATGAGAATCTGCAAAAAAGGTTTTGGCATAAAATACCAATTAACAGTTCTCTGTATAAAAACATTATTGCTTACTACCACTATATTTACTACTGGCTACTTCAGCTGATGATACGGTTGTATTACGGTGTGATATGACCTATGTGGATCTCAAAAGGAGAGAGGAATAACTGGAACAAAAAATCGTGGAGCTCCAGGCTACGGTCCTCAGAAAGGATTATCCAACAGACCTAGCAATCAAACTGATTTGCTTTTGTTTTGTATGAAGCCAGGCATGAGCACAAACCCGCCCGAAGGGGCTGCGAACAGCTGATTGTCCATCTCCATTGGAACAGATTCCTCAGAAGCAACACTACAAAGTTCACCACAAGTCTGTCTGATTTGGCCTCTACCAGCCGATAAAAGGGTACTGAGACCCTGAGGGAAGATCTCTCATGCATTTACAAGCTCACAAAGCAAAGCACCAGAGACAACGCACAGCTCATTTCCAACAACTGCAAAAAAAGATTGAAAGAATTAAAAAAAAAAAAAAAAAACCACAGCTCAGATCAAATCCTCAAAGATCTGTGCAGAGCCTGAAAAACCTTTGACAGCATTTATAAAAATATATTGGTTTTCTTAAGGGAAATACCCTATAACATTAAGAAATTAAACAATATGACTCTATTCATAACCCACAGGCAGGAAAAAAAAAAATAGATAACTTCTTTATATTGAGCACAGCATCCTACAGAAGTGTTTTAAAAGGAATCGCTTCAGAAACTAAGTAGCACAGTTATATTGCACCGTATTCCCAAAATAACATTGCGTACACCAAGAGTGTTTATACCAAATTGACTGAGACTTTAATAACTCCCTCCCTGTTGCTGCAGACAGAGGTAAGAACACTTAAAGAGCAGTTTGAAAACAAACACATAGCTGTCTAGAAACTGTGGGATATACTTAAATCCAGAAAGAATGATGTGGTGGTTTGCCTACGTTTTTGGCACTATGGTGAAGCACTTCTCTTTGTACAAAGCTAATAGCTAAGAGCCATCCATATTATATATATAAATATAATATCCTTTTTAATTGTATTTTTCAGTGCAGTCTTTTTTTTTTTTTTTTAAATCATTGTACAGGGAAAACACAGCAGAGCATGTCGTATCCACAACAGCTTCCAAGGAACAGCTCTGGAAGCTGAATGCTTTAGTTTTACTTAAAGAAGTTATAGGAACAGAAATAACCTGTGTTTCACCTCTCTGCCTCTGTGTTTCAGCTTAGCCCGAACAGGTAACCTCTAAGGGCGACAGATTTTTAAATACACGCTCTCTGAATCTTTTCCAAGGCTGTGGGCAATTTCTCTTGGTTTGAGACTGCTGATATATAATAATGATATTCCACTGTCACCCATTATCATATTTAAACTCACCTTTCTTGAATATATTTACTTCCATTTATTTCTTATTTGCCTAATGAGTGGTCCCACACCAAAGTCACAAAACAGTCAGAACCCAAAGCTTGGGCAAAGTCTGGGTGTTTATCCGATTCCTGGGGCTTGACGTAATCCTTAGTCCCAACTGGAGTTTAGGGACTAGGCAAGTTTTTGGTTTTTTGTTTTGTTTTAAGAAAATACATAAAAGATTATTTATGTGGTTCTTTCAGAGCTCCCTGATCCATGTCAAACTGAAACTTTGCAGGCTCTTCCCTGCTAGCAAGGGAAATGGTCTATAAGGGAAAGGAATCTGCTTTGTGGGAGGGTTTTTTTCTTTCTTGCAATTTATGGCAAAAACATTTAGTACCTTTACATGGCATGGCTTTTTACTTGCCTACATCAATCTAAGTAAGTGAATCTGTGAAAGCACAGTGACATACTGAGATGAAAACCACTTCCACAAAATACATTTGTATAGGTTTTTATTACTTCACCAGCTTTATAAAAATGATTTATTCTGGATTTATACTGGACTGTCTTCTCATCCCATGAGATTACTGATATCAGAACAAGAGATTACTGATACTGATATTACTAACAGCAGAGATTACTGATACTATATAGGCAGGCAGAGGAAAGAATGCTGACCAATACGCTTTCCCAAAAACGACACTAAATTTCTAGCTTTTTTGTTTTGAAAAAATCTTCCTCTAATAGCTTCACTTGTCAGAAAACGCTGCTATTGATCCAGCTGTAGCTTGGTACCCTGCACGTGACAAGTCTCAAAAAACTCAATTATGAAACCAAGTTTATGCTCCATTTCTTCAACCACGCTTTTAACTTTGCTGTATAAACCGGGATGGAAAGGTATGGGGCCATTTTTTTCCAAGCTAAATAAGTTAATTCTTCCATACCTTTCCCAGTACTTTCTCTCTCCGATAATCCTAGCCAAATCTTTAGGCAGCCAGAAGTCTGGTCTTGTAGCCACATTAAGCAGCAGCTCCCACCTTTCAGCCTTCCACCCAGAGGAGCTTTCCTAGAAGACTTGCAGTGCAAGTTATGGGTAACTTGGAGCTAAGTAAGGCTCCCGTTCAGCTTCAGCTGCAGCTCATCCCACTGACACACTCATCCCTCTCCCTGTTATCCTGCAGTAACAGGAAGCTGGGTTTGGGTTGTTCCTGCAGTAACAGGAAGCTGGGTTTGTTTATTATTTTGAAAGTTAAGTTATTCATGGATTTGGAACCACTTGTAAAGGTTCAGTCCCCCTGGGAAGAATGAGCGCACATCACAAGCTGCCCAGAGAGACTTAACACATGCATTTGCACAGAAAAGTCATAGTGCTCCTACTTTTCCAACCTCCTCCCCCCGTCTGGTTGAATTCCCAAGTCATCCCTTTCTAACAAGGCTCTCCTCTGCTGTTCAAAACCTTGAGTGAGCAACTAGGTAAGGCCACGTACATCTGCTTCAAAAAAGCATACAACCCAAATTTAAACTATGTGTCACCTCATAAACCTGCCCTAGCCTTTGAAGATAAAGCACAGTTATCTCCCCAGAAGCCCCCTCAGTGCTGCACCGGACAAATGTCACTGCTGCAGTTACTGTGCAATGGGTTACGCATGCTAATACCGATGTGCAAGGCTTCCAATTAGATTCCCGTTTCCTCTGCCACCTATAGGCACGATAATTTCTCAGGAAAGGGGCTAAATTCAGCAAATGGGAACCCTTCCTCCAAACGCTATTTCAGGAGAGAAAGCTCACTCCACAGCTCCCTCAACAGATAAAATTCCTGGCTGTGCTAAATAAGACTCTGAAGAGTCTCATCTTTCAGGATTTCATCGCAAAAAATGATCTCTTTATTGCGGAAAAAAGAAGCCAAAACAACAACGAAAAACAAAACAGCCCAGCAGAAGGGGCGCGTGCAGCTTAATCTACCTAAAAATGGCCATATAGTCACAAACAATGGATGTAACATGGGAACGTACCTTATATTTGCTGGCTTTGACACAGAGGGGACGAGAGGGAAGAACTAATTTCCCTTTGCCAACAGCCTCACACATATTCTCCCATTTCACTCCAGTAAATTAATTCTGGTACTGTTTTTATGAGTGTATCTTCATTAGCAGATCTAATAATCATCACTTACAGAGCACCATACTTCTGTGAAACACTATTCAAACAACTAAAATCAATCATTTTAATTTATATACGGTCACAGCACAGCCAAAAGACTGGGCTGCTATCTCACAGTACCTACGTCTGCCCTGTCGGCTGCCAGTGCAGCTCATCACCGGGATGTTCGGAGGCACCTCTCGTTGTTACCTACCTGTAACATCTGCAGTTCAGGGTTGTGTGCCAAACACAAACCAGACCCCTCTGACGGGATCGGTGACACAGGCTATGCTGACCAAATCTTACCATCTGGTGCATTTCAATAAATACACCAATCATTTTTTCTTTGCCAAAACACATACTTCTGCTTGGAATCCTTAAGTACCCTGTGCCAAGATCACTTATATTTTTCATTTATGTTGTAGATGTTATGGGGTAAAAAAGTTTAATCCATCAGTAGAAGTCATGAAAAGCTGTAGAGAATGCACTGAACTTGCTAGTTTGTACATGAAAGAAAACTGCTTTGCTACATGGGTAAAGGATGGCCAAGACACTGCTCAAGGATTACTCCTCAAAGACGCGCTTTAACGAATCTTGTAATTGTGACAGCAATGCACAGAAAGAAGAAAAAGCCCTCAAAATTCATTTGTAGCATCCACTCATTATTGTGGCCCTAAAGTTTATTTTAAATGCTTTTCTCACCGTTGAAGAAAAGCTAAAAGAGAATAAACTGTTTGCTAGTGAGATTTCTGTCCACCATCATGTAAGTGATGAAAAGATTGGTACAAAGGCAGGATTTCCCTTCAACTCTATTACACAGCGAGTTAAAACTTTCTGCCCTGCACACTTATCTGGCTTGTGCATCTACAGACAGGTAAATACCCACTGAAGAAATCAAGACTCAGTGAAATCTCAAACTTTCAGTGAGTGTACCAACACGCTTGCACAGGGTGAAGCCTGAGAGCGCCACTCCCCTCGCAAATAATTCACCCAAAAAAGGTTTGGCAACAGCCGTCACAGCTGATTCGCAACCCTTTCCGAAGAGCTGCATTCAGGAGATGTCTTTACCTAGGCTGGGAGAACAAACCACTGTCTGAGCTCTGCTTCTTTATTAATTTGTATATAATCAGATTTTATTAGTTTTCAGCCAGCTGAAGCACCATTTTGCCTCTCCTCCTCCTGCGGGCTGTTTGTGATACTTTCCCCACAGACTGCTGGCTTCTGCTTCTGTGCTGCTTCCTCCCAAATGGCAAAGGAAAATACAGTGTCCAGGATGGTTCCTCCACGACAGGGGAGTCTCTTGCCCCCAGGACGACTGTCCCCTTCAGGAAAAAGTCTACAGTTAGCTTCCCCCATCTAACAGCAGCTCAAATTTCTCCCAGTTTTTTTCCACTATATCTGATGCTGTGAAATGTAAAAGAGCAAAGGACATAAAGTCTGTGTGGGCACTACATGCCAATAAGCCTTATTTTGGTCAGTTGCTTAGAAAGCAGCCACTGAAACCTTAAATCACATAAGCATTTAAATCTGTGCTTGATAATCTTCCCAATTTAAAAGATACAGGGATACGAATTATATGGATTCAAATATTAGCTTCCTAATGGATGGATTAATGGCTGTGAGTATTATGTATTTTTCTCACTTAAAGAGAGCAGATCATACCTGAAAACTATGACTGGCTAGCACTTCTTAACATTTATCTAGGATGGCATTTGCCAGAATTAAATATAAGGAAAAAGTAATATAAGAGGCTCAGAGACATGCCTGGACATCATAAGCTGGAGCCATCCATCAGTCATAAAACTAATGCAAAATGTACTGTAAATGCACACACGCATATCCTACTTTTACCTCTCCCAAATACAAAACTCAAGAATGAAAGTTGTCTTTTTAAACTCAATTCCACACCTCACAGGGCATCTTTAACTCACTCATGACATCTCCTCGCTTCCTCTCAAAGCCTATTTCACTCTGGGCAAGCTGAACTGGACATGAACCAAGACCAGACCACAAGACTACCCAGAGGACCTCTACCTCATACGGGTTGCACTGCTGGCAACAGATACCAAATGATACAGGGGAATTAAGCAAATTAAGCGTGGCATCATGGCCAAACACATGAACGTGGCCCAGGAAATAGTTTCACAGCCTGGAGCAGAGCTCTTGAGGTAGAAGCTAAATGACTCACTCAGCTTTTCACAGGTGCTCACATTTAACCATGCTTCCTTCTCACTAGGGGGCAGCTAGTCTGATTTACTGCAGATGCAAGTACTCTCAACAGTGCCCAAAGTCAAGAGGGGTTGCGCCTTAACAACCCCTCACGTATAGTGCTACAGGAGGCCAGACATGGGGAGCTGGAAGTATCAACACGGTATCTCCCAAGGTTAGTCAGGGCTTAGCTGGAACCTTCTCTGCCTCAGGTCTCCACCTGTGCCATGGCTAACGACCAGCCTCTCCCAGCTTGGTTTTTATAACTCAGATATCTGAGTGCTTCACAAATACTAACAAGAAGTACCGCAGAGAAGTCCAGCAGCAATAAGTCTTTCAGGACATTTATTTGAGGAGCGTGAAGCAAATAAACCCTGAGGCTCTCCTCCACTACGGGAAGGAGAAAACACAAGGCTAGCTTCTCCTTAAGGTATCACCATCCAACCCAAGGACTGGTGCAATCTGGGTGTGCGCCTGCTCTTGGGGAAAGGGGTGGCATGCCATCATTAAACTCCAGCATTATTCCCAAAGAGTCAGAGCATAGGCTGAACAGAAAGCAACTCTCCCGCTTCTCAAAGTCAGTGCTGACCCCACACAACCGTAACACTCCTCACACACACAGATGCTAGTGACAACATTGCCCAGCTTCAGAAAGTCAGAAACCAAGTTTGCAGAACCCACAAGGACTCAGTTTTCCCCATTCATACCGTCTACTCTCCTATCCTCCTTCCTCCCAGCTTTCCTCCATCCTACCAGTTCTACCAAATCCATAACCTCGAGGAACTAGTCCTAACTCTTCAGAAACACCCACCACTGTCTCTTGACTGCTCTTTCAACCATGTTTCCTAAACCACACCTACGTCTTCAGCTGTCTTGCTCCAATCTCACCCTGCATCTCTCTTACGAAGTGTCTTGCCTCTTTTGCTTTCCTTCCTGCTGTACCACGTCACAGTGCTGTTTTCCACCCCGCGGGGGTACCAGCAGAGGGACTCACTGAGACGTAGAAATGTATGAAAGAGGACTAAGAACTTTTACCATCCCTTCAAATGTTGAGAAAATATCACCATCTCCTTTCCAACTCTATCTCACATAAAGGAGATAGGATAAAAATTAGTGCTCTCAGAAGAAAAAAAAAAAAAAATTGGAGATTCATTAACAGCTGAACTCCAGAAAGTCTCCAACAATTTTTTTCTGCATGTGGAACTTTTCTCCAAAGGAATATCCAACACGTAGAGAGGAATCAAAAGAAATCCTGGCGCAGAAACTGCCCGCAAAGTCTTCGGTATCTCCAATTCAAAACATAAGGCTCCTAACGCTCTTTTAAAGGTCATTAGATTTTCTTAACGTTTAGATATATTACTTTTCCTAACCTTATTCTCAGAAATGGTCTAATCATTTTGGCCGAATCCCCTCCTACACTAGCACCTCCTCCTTTCTTTGCACCACCCCTCCAATCCCAGGAGTCAGTGTAAAGAGACTCATCATGGAAAATTTCAAACCAGAAGTTAAAAATTCAGCAAAGTTTAAACTACCAAAAATAGGGATTTTTCATGAGAATGTCTCAGCAACCTTAATTATACCAAAATCTACAATCTGCATCTGTAATTTATGAACTAAAATAACCTTTTAAATTAGTTGTATAGACAGGGGAATAGGATGACACTGAACAAACAACAAAACCGTAGAATTACAACTCCCTTGATAGCCTGGTGCTTCTTCTCCTCTTGAAACACTTCCGTAGAAAACCAGAACATTTTCCACTGAAGGTTTACCTGACCATCACCTTCTCTCTTTAGACCTGGGAAAGTTTTCTAAGCTATAAACCCACTCAAAAGCAAAACATACGCACTCAGGCACACAAAACAGAGTCCCACATTTCGAGCAAGCAAAAGAAAAAAGGAATGACCATTTTTGCATCATTAGCATAACACCACAGAATCAGTCCATGTTTGCTCAAAACTGAACATAGGATCATTCCAGATTATGAAGCTTTGCAAACATTTTGACGAGTATGGTCTGAACTTTAAGCTCATGACTAAACCTAAAACCAGACATAGTAAACGTGTTTTTTCACAGAGCTCTGACACATGATTTGTCAATTCCTGTGGATTCTCAACTACAACACAGTGATAACATTAATTTTTCTGTATTATTGTCGGTACCCTCAGCCCCCTAGCCTAGTTAGGCATCTTCTCCTGGCTTAACAAAAAACAAAAGCTTAAGTACGAACATTTCCTCTATATATCTGACTTTTTTTTTTTTTTTTTTAAATAGTGCCTGGTAAACCTCCAAAAGTTTGGAACTTGAATTCCTACCAGAAAAATCCCCATGTGCTTTTAAATCTGTAACTTAAGTTGCAACTCAGGGGTGGGGGGTGGAGGGGGCATAAACTTGGAATTTCATGCAGGAATATTATAACAAATAAGGACCAACTACAGCTGCAGAATCTTCACATTTCTATCTTTAATTCTAGACAGATCAAGGGCAAGACAGATGCGCAAGAAGGAACAGGGAGTTTTAGATTTTTAAAAACAAAAGCAAAGCTACAGAGAATTGGATCTCACGCTTCTGAAGTTCCAGTTTGAGAATCTGGGACTAACCTGTACCCTGATGAAGTAATAGGGACTATGGGGAAGAGTCCACCATAAACATTTAGTCACCATTATAAAAGTCAACACACGATAAACATTTAAACAAAAAGCTTCGGGCTTGAGGTCAGCAGAAGAGAGTGAAGATGTCGACATCTTCAGGTCTGCTAGCTTTAGTTTTTATTACAAGGCATCAACAAGTTGAAGGTGGTATTCTGCATCAGCTCTCTGATGCAGATAGGTAAAGCAACTGTTTTCTTCCCACTTCAAATACCACAGTAGTAGTATTTTGAATTACGATAATGCAGCCTACTGGTCATATCATAAAACGTGCACCTCTGTTCCTCCCCAGCTGCTTTTCTCTCCTATCCTTCTCCATGTCGTTCTGCACCGCGCAGGGCACCTGAAAAGCAGCTCACCACAAAACTCAGTTAAAGGGGCAGAAGAACACGCAGAACTGGCATCCTGAGCGCTGCGTTTCGTGTGCTTTCAGCCCAGGCCTGGAGGCAAAGAGAGGTATCTTTGGATTGTTCCATGAACACTTACATTTTTCTGTCACCTCTCTTTTAGGTAACTTCCATGTGGCTTAGCTATTTGAATGCTGGTTTTAGTTGCGTCAATCAGCACATTTAAAAACCACAGACGCATTTAAAAAAACAGTAGACTCAGTAGGAGGAAAGATTAACACGTCATTGAACAATGAGAAAATACTCGCTGAGACACATCAACCATTAACAGATTAATGCTTAAGAAGACCCCAGAGACCAGTAAGACAGGTATGTGCTTTCAGTGTGTTTCAGTCTATCTTGATCTATGTAAATATACAGCTTAATATTAACTGTGCCAAACGCATGGCAAATCAGGTTCAACCTTTGAGCCCAGCAGCCTTTCCTCTGCCTGCAGCCAAGCCAACCGTGCCAAGAGGAGGAAGGCGGCTCCCCGCGCCGGGCTCCCACCTGGGACGTGGCACCGTGCCCTCTCCTCCCGCGCGCTGCAGGCACCCAGACTGGCTGCAGCTCCGCCGCACGCTCTCATGGCAACAGCTGCTGCCAGCAGAAAGCCAGCTACAGGAAATAAACTGATTTTCTCCCCCCGCTTTATATCACTAAGTATCTGCAATCCTTCGTGCTTAATAGATTGCAACACAAATCTTGTATGTCTGGCTACATATTTTACAGCAGAAAACAAACGTGGGTGCCGCACAGCGCTTCTCTTACACTGTACGCTAAACTTCAGTACCATACAGCGAAATAAAAAAATAGTTGTAGTTTGATGCTATTCAAGACAAATCTGTTGTTCCTTATTCCAAGAAATGCTAATAAAAGTTCCTTCTTTCCAGTAAGTGATCTGTGCAACAGTCTGCCAGTGTAACCAGTCTGCCAGTGTAACACAGAAAACTCTCGGTGATAGTGTAGTAGATTTAGCTAAACTAAGGCTAAAGTTTTTTTGCTTTTGTTTTAAACTTTTCTTCTCCTATGGTTCTAATAAAGCCTCAAACAGGAAGTGAATAAAATAATTTAACAGCTGCTTTTATTATTTTTTTTTTCTCCAAAATGTGTTTTTTCTAAAGGCTTTATAGAAATATTTAATTTATCTTCTGTTCAACTAGACAGCAGTTTGCAAAACCTTAGGACTGGTCATCTGACATACCTGCATATTGTTCTGACAGTGTTTTTAACTTCTAAACTCCTTATACATTTTTATAAACTGAGATTCCTATAAACAATATCCTTTATTAGATGTAGTTTTTACTGTTCAAGTTATTAAGTTTTATAAAGACCATTAACAACTAGTTAATAACAGTTAATCACAAAACAGATCCAAAACTTACTTTTTTTTTTTTTTTTTTTAAAGCCAAACACATATAGAAACACTGCTTTTGTGATAAGAGCTTCTCGGCAATCTATTTGGCTTTCAAGAACAAATCCTAATACATTTCCAAACTTACACGAGAACGTAAGCCTCTCGAATACCTATGAAGCAGCATGAATAGGGATAAAACAAATAAAAAAAATGCAACCACAAAGAAATGAAATTAAACAAAAACATTTCACACAGAATAACGTACTGTTTTTCAGGAAAAGTTGATGTCTTTTGTTTTGTTTTTAAAAGGTTCTTGATATCTCCAAGCAGAAAACTAACTTGTGCAAGAAATATACAATGTCAAGCAATGTTTCACAATGTAATATCCATACAGAAATGGAACCTTTTACCTATTTTTACTACTTGATTTTTCTCATGGGATTTATTGGAAGTTGTTTTGCACTATGGGCATTCACACAAAAAGATCAGAAACAGAAGTGTATGAGCATCTACTTAATCAACCTCTTAACAGCAGACTTTTTGTTGACTTTGGCATTGCCAGTAAAAATAACTGTTGACCTGGGAGTTGCACCCTGGAAACTGAGAATATTCCACTGCCAAGTTACAGCCTGCTTCATCTACCTGAATATGTATTTATCAATTATATTTTTGGGATTCGTAAGCATGGATCGTTGCCTTCAGCTAAAGCACAGCTACAAGATTTATCGTATTCAAGAGCCTGGATTTGCCAAGATGCTGTCTGCAGTCGTATGGACGATGGTTCTCCTGATAACAGTGCCTAACATGGCCATTCCAATCAAAGACATTGAAGAAAGACCTAATGCAGGATGCATTGATTTCAAAACAAAATTTGGAAGAGACTGGCATGTCTTTACAAATTTCATCTGTATGGCAATATTCTTGAATTTTTCAGCTGTGATACTGGTTTCCAATTTCCTTGTTGTTAGACAACTCTACCAAAACAAGTATAGTGAGAGCTATGCTAATGTAAGGAAAGCCCTAATCAATATACTGCTGGTAACTGCAGGCTACCTAATGTGTTTTGTCCCATACCACATTGTTCGTATTCCCTACACTTTGAGCCAAAGTGATACGATAACTGACTGCTATCTGAAACAAACTCTCTTTAAAGCAAAAGAGTCTACCTTGCTGTTTGCAGTATCAAACCTCTGCTTCGATCCTATTCTGTATTATCACCTTTCCAAATCATTCAGATTGAAGATTACAGAGACTTTTGCAGCACCCAAAGGGACAAAGGTTTTCACGGGTGAAGAGGCAAAGGCCGTCACAGCAGAAGAGGCGCATTGCAGACCTGATCAGCAGACACAAAAGTATTATTTCTAAACTAAATCTAAAATGTGTGCAAATACATGGTATTTACAGCTGCTGTGCAATTGTAAACGCGGCTAACAAGGCCAACAACATTACTGCTCAATCATAAGCCCAAACAAAAGGGAAAAACTTGACTAACAATACAATTGCTTTATTATATGATCATATAGTAGGTCTGAACTAGCAGAACACTCGGTACTGCCTTTTAGAAACCAGTGATGACCTAGCAGGAATCAGCAACATGTTCAGAAAGACACAAACATGCCCTATAAATATTTATGGATAAACACCTGAACTCACTCCTTCTACATAAAATACTGCAGATTTCCTATATTAAATGACTTGGTGCAATCAAGGAAAGAGATTACTTAATAGTAATTCACAAGCTGCAAAGCTTTTTTTTTTTTTTTTAAAACACAAATGCAATTAGCCCAAAAACATTTTAAATGGCATTACTTCTGAAAGTGATTTTAAGCTGCACTGATTAAAAATTATTGTATCTGCTTACATCGCACCTGCAGTTTTCATGAATAAATTTGTTGTCGGGCTCCTTTGCTTTTTCTTGTTACTTCAATGAATATGAAAAAGCTAACAACATATGTTATAGAAAATTCAAGCAAATTTTAAAATTAAGATAAAGCATATTGAAATCTAGTGTATTTTTGTCATATTTCCAAAAAATTAAAAAACAGCAGGTAAGTGTATTAATTTACTAATTTACAAACACTTTCAAAGACAATGCACATCTAAAACAGTCAATTATCAAAGTCAAATTCAAATTTGCACGGAAAAAACCCAGGTACCTGGATTAGTTCTACCTGTAAACAAAAAATATTTCAGAAATAAAAGAGAACCAAGTTACTTTTCCCTAATCCTTAAAACGGGCAAAATATGAATCAGACTAAGTAAGTATTCAAAACTGACCCAAACAGTAATAGGTCATTCAATATTCCTATAGCAACTAATCACCCTCAATAACTCAGAACCCAAACTTTGTCATAGAAGGAAGTTAAAACAAAGAAGCTTGTGGCTATCACATCCTATTCTTGCTTGGACAAGATAGTATTTAATATCATTAACAGTTATCATTGTTGTTTCAGAAGAAAATTCTTAAGCGGAGACAGATTCCAGCTCCAGGCTTGCTCAGTATTTGGACCCTTTTCCCAGCATGGTGGAAAAGATGAAAACTAAAGAGAATGAAGGTTTGGGGTCTGGAACACTATTCATGAGGCTTTCTTTACTTCCCAAGCATCCCATAGACAAACACAGAACAGCAGCAGCAATCCATGCCAAAGACTGGGTAGGAGGGAACACCATTCTGTCCCTTACATTTGAAAACTGTGTTTCAGATATTTTTAGCATATTTATTCATTCGTCCAACTACAATATCCAAGTTTCGATCTAACCAATTTTTTTTTTTTTTTTTTTTTTAAGAAAAGTGGTACTTTTCATGTGGTGCTTTTTTTCCTTACTATACTAAGTCACCTTACCTTATTGCACCTCTCTCCAGTTAACCCACTTTTGATAAAATAACGATCTGCTTGACACGCTAAAGCCATTCTACAGTTGTGTACCTAAGGTGTATGCAGGCAGGAATAACAAATGTCATGCAGATTGTTTGTGGGTCCTCAGGCAAAGCTCACACAGCTCTCTCCGCACAGTGGGACCGAACTTTTATTCCTCTAAATACTTTGCTGTCACATCAGTCAGCACACTTCTGCACACAAGCATAGAGTTCACTTACCAGAGGTATAGGGAAGTGTGTCGCATATTGCAAATGGCGAAGGAGGTCATAATTGGATGGAAAAATCAGTTCTCTCAGTCTTTCTCTCTTGACTGACTTCTCACTGGTAACTGAAATTCTTCTGTCTAAAGAAGAGTTCACATTCTCACAAGACTCTCCAGGCATCGGAGAAAAAATCTAAGTCATGTAAAACAAACATTTAAGATAAGTGTAACCTCAAAGTTTCAAAATTCAGCAATTCCATTCAGAGATCCAGTTTTGCTTTTGCTTACAGTTACTTTAGAAGTATCTGACTGTTTTCTATGACAGATAAAGCAAGGGCAATCAGAATCAAGCCTGAAATTTAAGAAGCTAAATATAGATAACACTTTTGTACATATCTCTACTGTTATTGTACAAGTTTTAAACTAGCAGTATTCAGTCAGAAAAAATACATGATTTAGAGCAATTTCCACACTTTACATGCTGTTATTGCACAGAAACCATATGATCAGATAGTCCAGCGACTCAGGGGAAGTAATGAGAAGGGTGAAGTGGGGGGTGAAGGAGGAAGTGACAGAGCCAGTGGACAAGAGACACTCCGGGCAAGCATGGATATGTTTGAAACCATCAACAAGACAGATGTCGGGCAGAAACAAGGGTCCCATTATCCTGAAGGGGGATCTGCACTGATCAGGCCGGGCGCAGACATCTGCGCGGATGCAGAACGAGGACCAGTCCAAAGGAAGAAACTAGGAGACTCGAGAGTAATCCCAAATCAGTCCAACAGCAAGGAAAAAAGAGAGGGGGAGGCAGGTTCGGAAGACAGAGCAAAGATATAGAATAGTCATTTAAAAAACAAATGATATCAATTTTGGTTCCCTTGATGTTGAGTTAAGTAGCTAAATCTGCATATTCATTTCTGATCAACTGTAATACACAGTACTCTGAACATCCTGGGGGGAGGGAGAGAAGGACGGAGGGAGGGAGGGAACAATACGCAGAAAGGAGGCAACGCTGACATGGCGAGCGCTACAGAGGCTGGATGCCAAGGGACACAGGCTGGTGAGAGAAGCGAGATGGTTCTAGGGACACAGGAAAAAAAAAAGATTCTTAGTGTAAAAAGCAAACAGGCACAGGCATTGACAGCATGCAGAAAAACAAAAGTTAAACCTACTGGAAATTCCGAACCAAAATCTGCCTTAAAGTCACTTTTGTCTACATCATCAAAAATATTAGTGGTTCCTGAGTCAATGCCCATATGTTCCATAATACTATGATCCTAATAATTGTCAGAGAGAGAAACAAACATCAGTCACATTTACTGAAGTCTTGTTTAATTAATCACAGGTAAATTGAAGTAGTCCACCTATTTACAGAATAAGAAAAAAAAAAAAAACAACAGTAGGAAGTTTTTAGATATTTAGTCTTTATTCACAAGAGGATTTCTCCAGCCTAAATCCACAAAAGGATAGAGAAGGGCAGGAGGTAAAAGGGAAAAATAAAACCTTACAGTATATCCCTACATGCAATTCTGCCCACAGGGACTCCTACAGACAGGAAGTTCTGTGAAACTGCTGCAAATACTCTGCGAAAGTTGACTCGTGTACCCTCCCCAGATTTATTTGCTGTTTTGTCCTATCACAGAAGGCAAATCCTAGAAACTCCCTATCTTGTGGGGCAAATTTGGACATGAGACCTACATAAGAGATGCACAAGAAAAATGAAAAATAAATACAAGTGAAGACTTTAGCTGGCCATCAGTTCCACATGGAACTGATGTGTAGTAGAACAACAGGCTATGTCACATCAAAATTACAAATCTGGACCACAGTTGAGAATTAAGAATCATCTTTCACTACTTCCAGAAAAGTTGAAGAACTGCTCATCTGGAGGAAGAGTTGAAATTGGGCCCAAATTGCGCATATACAAGTTATGAGGTCTGGCTTTACTATCTTCAGATCATGGCTGTTTACTACACATAAAACTCTCGATCTTCTGCAAACAGATTACCAGGTTGTGAATCATTCACGCTTGCGCAGTGCCTACGTGCTCCACACGACACAGAGCCCATGCACCTTACTCCAGGCTCCACATGGACTCCGCCTGCTTAAAGCCATCCCTACTCTTCACTGAAACGTACCTGCAAACAAGGTTTCTCTGGGGTGAATTTAGAAGGCTATATTATGCCTTTTTCCTGCATTATCTAGATGACTGGAGAACTGACAGTTCAGTGTACTTGCACCAAAACTGCAGTATTCCAAGGCCTATACAAGAATGAAGCATAATGGATCTTCTAATCTTCTCTGATCTATACTGTAAGTATCATATCTTAGAAATACTAATGTTTTGGCAAAAAAACAAAAAAACCAAAAAACCTACCCTGAATAAAACAGAAGACCAAATATGGTAGAAAAAAAAAGTACAAAGTGGTACCTCCAATTTCACATCATGATCCTTAGAATAAGGTTCATCCGCAGTTTCCCCATTAGGTGAACGCGGTCTAGTAGTTGCAGTGATTGACAAGTCTCCACGCGATATTAAAGTGCACATGTATGCATCATGGGAAAAAACATCATGTCGAATGAATTCAGAAAACAGCAGCACCAGATTCACAAACTCTGTCTTCTCATGGTCGCTGTTTGGGTCAGCTACCAAAAAACAAGAAAACTTGGATTGTAATTTCAACTTATAAATATTTGGTTTTCAGCTATCCAAATTACAAACCCCTACAAATTTTAAAGTTTTAAAGGCAGATTAAAAGCATCTCAGGGATCCTGCATAGGTTTCTCCTCTCCACAGGATGAATCATTTCCCATTCAATGACATACAACTTGCATGGTTTTGCTTTGCTCACAGTTCAAGGCATCTGATGGCATCCAGACAGCAGTGAATTTCAGAGTGCCCTACTCACTGATATGCATCTGCTCACGTCAGCACATGCCAACAGTAAGAACACCATTCACATACTTCCAAAAATAAAGCAGGGGGAAAAGAGGACATTGCTTGTGCAGAGGAACAAAAAAAAAAATTGAGTTTATCCTCAAGCTTTAGATTAAAATAGACCACCCAGTGATTCTTCTTTCCTCTCAAATTCTATGAGTATTCTATTAGAGTAAATTTTAGTCTTCGCTATAGTCTTCACTATAATACTTGCTTATTTTTTAAAGCTACAAATCATGATTTCACACAGGATTTCATCACCTTCACATGCGCACATACCCACTGGCATTTCCAGACTGAGGAACATGCTCATTCTGAACTTTATGAAGAGGAGCTACAGACAACTTATTTTAGTAATTCTCATAGTTCTCAAAGTGTGTTTTTGTTTGTTTTTAATCTCTCTTCATTTTTCCCTTATGTATTTGTACCATGTTTAGCAGTGCATATCCCATGAGACACTGGGGAACAGAACACATCACAGCAGCCCCTCTCCTTTTTCACCTCAAAGTTTTCATTGCTTCATCAAGTTTTTACTTACAGGGCATTTTAGGGTGAATATATGAGACAATATTATCACTAATACCTTCTTAACATAAAACCTTTTAAAATATTTTCAAAGAACTGAAGATATCTGCATTCTAGACCTTCAAAATGGAAAAAGATTCCTTTGTTACAATTTAATATTAAGCTTTATCAGATGAGCGTTCTCATGCATATCAGGAAAGAGTTTATTAAAACAAATGCATGTTATTTTATCAATGACAAGGCAAAGCCTAGAGAAATACAATATAAAAAATGCATTGTTTTCATTTGTCACAACTCAAGCTACAGAACTACCACTACCAATAATCCAAAACAAAACACACTTAAAAGCAAATTACACTGTATAAGTTCAATTAGTTCAATATATAATACTATTTCTATATACAATTGCCACTTGTTGTCAATCTAGCGGGCAATTTACAGATAACAATTAGGCCTATTTTAATCTTTCCTCCATATATGGTAAACAGGTCCATTCTTCTTATTTTCACCCTAACATTCATTCTTTTTGGTATTTTTTAAAAGTCTCATTATACTGGAGTATAAATGAGATAACAGTAAGCCCAAGTACAGACCAGTTCAAAGACAGAACTTGTCTCCGCCCACCTTCAAGTCCAATTCACCCTGAACTATCCACCACAACCCACCCCCTCAAAGCTAGATGTGCACATGGGATGCAGCGTGAATAGGTCTGCCCTCCTTCAAAAGACAAGGATTACATACTTTTCATTCCTGGAGACATAGAAGCTCAACCACTGTGAAAACAATGCACAAAAAACTATTCCAAAGTTGGAAAATGCCACAACATATTTCAAGCAAGGAAAACATTCCCCTGCTAATCTCCCTACTCCGTCTGGCAGAACTGCCCGAGTAAAGGAGGACAATACCCTATTGGAAACAAGGAAATCAGACGCACAAGTCTAAGGAACAAATATTTTGCATGGTTTAGTAAAACCAGGGTCACCACTAACCCAAAAACAGAGCAGAGTCAATACTCTAGAGTCTCCTTTTTTGCATGTTGAGGGGTTTTGGTGTCACAATTCAAATCAGTTGAAATCCACTTTACCTAAAGGGCACTAGAAAAAAATTGCACTAACTTGCAGTAACTTAGATATCAGAAACATAAGTTTCATTAGACTAAGACATTTCATAGAGCAACCAACAATGGATAAAGATCGTTTTTTCAATCCACCTATTTGTAGGATGACAATTTGCTACTTTAACACTTGTATGCAAGTCAGTTATTTTGAACGCGCATGTGGCAAAAAGAGGCAGGTGTCTGATGTTATATAGGCCTAAGAATGCAAGTACTTTTACCCAAAACCTGTTACAGCTTAAGCAGAAATAAAGGTAGTTTGTGCCAACTTTCATTTGGTGAAAAGAAAAAAAAAGAACAAAACAAACAAAAAACCCAACACACACAGAGGAAGATCCTATTACAAGACAGGAAATTTTGAAAACACGTACATATGAAAGCAGAGGAAATCATCATGGAAACGGAGAGCCAGAAACACTTGCTTCAAAACAATAACAGCAGCAACCAGACAGGAGACTATTGTTTCTGACCTACTTTGGAACACAAATTAGTTAATACTCACATAATGAGGGAGCTTGTGTATCTAAAAACCTTAGCAGGACATTCTGGAAAATGGGAAGACTGGAACTCGTCAAAGAGGCTGATGATATGGATTCCTTTTCATCTAGGACTTCAGATTCACCACATCTCTAAAGAGTTGGGGGGTGGGGGGGAGAGGAAGAGGGGAAAAAAGCATATATCTACTCATAAATACATATAATAGTCCCACAATTTGCACCTGATGCAGTTGTGTGATTGATTCCTCTCTCTAAATAAAAAGAATCACATTCTTTTTATTCTAGAATCTAGAATCACATTTTTTCCCATTATTAAGTTCAGTTATTTCTAAGATGTTTTATTTAAGCACTTTTGATCACTTATCAAAAAGGAATGCCTAAGGCACGTACCATCATCTGTAATGGCATGGTTTTCTATAAACTAAAATTTAAGGATACAGAACTTCCAGGATCAATGTAAAGACAAAAAGCAACACATCCTGTTTGCATACATTACACTAAAAATACAACATAGCATCTCTGCCTTAAATGGCTTTCAGCATGACCAAGATAGACAGAGCATTGTGAGCTGCCTTCCCCTGCTCGGTGGTTTGTGGTGAGGGGAGGACACGGCAGAGCAGCTCTGGAAAGCGAAAGCCTGCCGCCCTGTCACGCTATCTGCGAGTAGGGCCTCCAGCCCTGGTCCCCGCCGGGGCCACGTGCACTCGCTGGCCATCTGAGCTGCCTCCTGGCGCTGCAAGGGTACGTCGCTCCACGCGGTGCTGGACCATCATAAACACTACCTCCGTTTAATTCCTGGTACAGAGCATGCTTAATGTTATAAAAGCTTCAAGGGAAAGCGTGTGCAAAGAGGAAAGGGTAGGGACAAGACCATCAGCTACATAAATTGGAGTAGGATCATTTACCACAACAGATAGACAAAAGTTTACATCAAAGATGCAACTACGGTGTTTTGCCCCTCCAGTGAGATGTTTCCATTATTTTCCTGAAAACAAATGCATGTAACAACGCAAGGCTAAAAATTACATGCAAGTTTTGCCTCAACACAGATGCTAGATTTGAGAGTTTTCCCGAGTCTCCCATGAGGACCAACCAGGTAAGCTCGCCTCCTGCCCATCCGCAGGACCACGGATTGGTTTGGCAACAGGCTCACAGGAGTAAACCACTTCAGACAGAGGTAAATCCAGCTAACAAATCAGCCTGAGTTAGGCTGTGATTTCTTCAAGTAGAACGCCTTTTCATTTGAAATTAAACTAGAGTTTAAAAACTACATTGATAACAAAATCCTCAGTGCTTCAGACGCAGCTGGACTTTTTTGGTTTGTTCTGTTAAAGGTGGAGATTAAAGTGAGGTTTCCTTAGAAACTGCTTGCTTAAGGATATTGTTCGTACTGCTCTGGAAGTAGAAAGAACTTACCTCTGCCTCGATTTCTGCTTGCCTCTTCTCCAGGAGTTTGGCTACTGCCATGGCCCTGTGTTTACCAGACCTCTTACAACTCACAGCCCATTCGCAAAGCAGCATTACCACAGCTTCGTCATTCGGGGCTACCTGTCCAGCAAAGAACAAAGGGAAAACCACTTTACCTACACAGCAAACAAACTTATTTCCAAGTAAACAGCTTTCAGTAGCCAGTGTTCTGGGGGATGAAAACAAAAGCTGTGTGATAAGAGGCCAGAAATAGCTAACATGCAAAGTTTCTGGCTTTTGTTCTTAACTACTGGCAGATGCACACTTATGTTTTCTCCTTAGTGTTTTCTGATGACGTATAAACTGCAAGCCAAAGAGGGAATTCTCAGGTTCCCACACTGCTAATATTCAAATCAAATTCAAAGTTTTCCTTTATCATAACATTGCTTCACAAAAAAGAAAAGGAAAGAGGGACCTGCTTTGTGAGCAAGAGAAAAGCACAGCACACAAACCCTCTCAACAAAACGAACCATACAGAATTTATGCTCTCCTGACATTGTTTAAGACCTACTCAGTCTCTTATTCCCATTGAAACTGCTTCCAGACCATTATTTGCATCCCATCGACTCTTTTAAAAGAGAGAGATTCATGAAGCGAGGATTCTGTCAAATAATCAAGATCCAAAAACTCCCAAACAAAAACACAGCTTACTTCTGACCTGCATGTGCCTAAACATAGGCATAAAAAAATATATATGTGCATGCCTTCAGCAAATCCACGTTTGCCAAATAGTAGCAATGGGGTATAACATGCTTATATCTAACTAGTGTTTCCCATATCTCCATTTTCACTAATCATCCACATTTTGGAAGTATTTTTCTGATGTGCTACTGCATTGGATCTGCTGAACTTCCTCACTCCTGCCCAGGGTGGCTACCATCTCCAAACCCTTTAACAGAGGAAATATCTGCAAATTGAACAGACATGATTTTTCTTCCTTCTCCTAGACTAGTGCATACAATTGTAAAAGAACAAACCATCAATTCTTTTCCACATGAGAGAAACAGTGTTCTTCCTCCATGAAACACTCACTAGACAAACACTGCCTGAATGCAAACACTTGCGGAAGTTTACATACGTACGTGCACACACACAAACATTTCCTTCAGATAGTATCTGCAGTGGTCTCAGCCAAGAGTATCAGCCTGTTATACAACTCTGCCCAGAGCTGCACTCTGCTACACTTAGAGCTGAAAAGCAAAAACAGCAAAATTTGGCACTACGTGATCTAACCACTTCCACTGCTACAGACTTCCACTGCACGAGTGAACATTAGCTTACGTTTAAGCCCGACAACAAATCTAAACACAAGCCAAACTCAGGACCAAAGTAAAACTCCAGTTACCGTATCTGAGAACAAATACAAACGAAATTAGAGCCAATTTCACTTGCTAACGTTTTCATTTTTACCAGGCTGCCTGTACTTATCCTGACCTATTGCACAGCATTGCTATAGGGTCTAATTCGAAGGGCACATGGCTTCAGCCGCACGCTCAGGCGCCAAGAACCAAGGGCCCAGGCTTATTTACCAAGGCCTGTTTCTTCCCGAGATCCCATGGGTTGTATTGAATGCTTTCACAAAACCCATTAAGAATGACTGCAGTGGAAACCGAATAACATTGTTATCAACATCAAATTGCACATCTAGAGTTTTAGGCATTCAGCCAGTAATAATCACTTATCATATTTTCTGACTAAAAATTGCATAACTGACCTGATTTATTTGATAGCCAAAACAAAGAGAAGAGAAAAACACAGGGCAAGTTGACCCTGTTTTGCTAAAGTTGGAAGTTATTTCAGTTACTTCAAGAAGTGCTATGAATTCTTACTTTTGAATAACGCAGCAATGCACAGTTCCGTGTTAAAATTATCATAACAAAAGGGATAAATAAAAGGACAGATGTTTGTGCAGTTTACAAGAAAAGTTGCATGAAATTACCCTGGTCAGGAGAGTATTTCAGAGCTACATAAATTAACTACAGATTAATTCCTTGCCTGTTCTGCCTGAACTTCAGAAAACTTCACAGAATGACTAACCCATCTTAAACAGCTTATTTACAATGGACAATTTGTTGTTTTTTTGCAAAACGTAGAATTAAACAACTAAAAAAAGACAACTCTGCAGTTAAAAAAAATGCAGACAGTTGATAGAGTCATGTGTTATCACTGAGCAACTTATTTTTGCACTAATAAGTCACAATCTTACATCTATAAAAAACAGAACTACATTCAGAGATGTAGAATCAAGTACCACTCTGTAGCAAATGCCTAGAAGTGATTACACACCTTAAAAAATAAAAAAAAACAGCCCTGATTCTGCAGTTTTGTGTATATGCAGAATACAATCTCTTCTGAAGAAAAAAGACACCATAGTTATTTGAAACATCAAGACATTTATCCATCTCAGAATTTAAGTCACACAACTTATGTGAAATAGCGAGTTCGGCTCTCAGAAGCTTACGTGCCCAGTAATAACAAAAGCTGAATACATGTAATTATTTAAACCCCTCTCCTTCAGACTTTTGCTCTGCAAGTTGCCACCACCAGAACTATTTCTAGCACACAAACCTAAGCTCACACTGAGCTTTTGGAGCATGGGGGCTGTACAGCGTACGGCAGCTGAGGACAGTGAAGTCCAAGTGCCTAGCAATCAAAAACTTTATTTTGCTTTTTACTGAAAATAAATGTGTTTTAAAGCTGTATTTCTTATATGTACCTATCAAGTATGTATACAGTATAGAAAATTGCCAGAAAAGCGCGGCAGTAAGTAACCTGCACAGCGCGTGCAGAGGCAGTGACAGGGCTGCAGGGAGCAATCCACGCTCCTCTGCAGGCCACGCTGCACAGCGCGGTGTGCTAGTCGGGACACTCCAGCGCCGAGCGCTCGCTGCTGCCCCGAGCAGGCTCAGCGATCTGCTGCTCCACGGAGCGGGAAGCACTGGCCACAGCACCAACTAGCACACAGCTCCGGCTTCCCCCCCGCCTGTGCAGCGGCGGTGGCGTCCCGCTGCATGGCAGCTCTGCTGCACGACTTCCTTCCTTCTGATGCCATCTCTCCATAGCTCCACCTCGCCATTTCTGTCCTTCAGACGCTCCACGTGTCTATGTAAACATGCTAATAACACAATTAAGTAACACCTCTTAAAATCATCAGGCTGTGAATTTATCTAATTTTGGAGCTCCTATCTGCAGATGTTCTTGTCTGGGAAAGCGCAGGTCACATTTCACAGCTTGAACTATTGCCTTGAAGAAGATTAGCATTAAGATCGCACTTGTACCCTTAAAATTTCAGGGACAGCAAAGCAAAAGATCAACTCACACATTACTTTATGACAGCGTTTGCAGGGATGACAAAACATAACATGCTGGACCACAGCCCAGATGTGCCTGGGCAGGGACTGCAATTCCTCCAGGTTGTGGGAAGTTCTCTAAAAGGACAAGGCCCCTTCTTTGAAATTCCCAAATCTTGTAGAACATCTACTGAATTTTTCTTTCATTAAGGAGGTACCAAATGGGATAGATTACCTACACCTGGCAGCACACACCTTCAGGGCAAGACTTGCAAAAGTTAAGACATCTCATTCGCAACATTCACAGTTTTGATATGACCCAAAATAGTTGCAACTTTCAGAAAGTCATTAATCGAACCCTTTCACGGAAAATCAAAGATCTCATTGCCACCAATTTGTAAGTGCAGCAGCAGATGGGTGAAGAAAAGGAGTTCTTTAAACAAGCACAGCCACTAACACAGGAAAGCATTACATGTTTATGTTTGGAGACAGGAAGCCAAGAGCACTACCGAGCCTTCGCCTTCTGTACCTCTGCGTTTGAGCTCTTTCCCCACGAGACCTTGGTTTTATTCTTAACTCAAATGTTACTACTGAACAACTAGTTTGGTTTTTACTCTAGCCAGAGACATTGTTGAGGTAACTGGATTGCAGGATTTCTTTTGCAACAGTAGCAGGAAGCACACAACATAAGGTTCAGAAGCTCAAAGCACTGAGCAAAGGAAACCCCCAACCTCCTCTCACCTCTTCTAAGCCTCTCAAGCAGCAATTTGGTGCGTGACTCACTGAGGCTGGGGAATGCCAGAGTCACTCGTAACGATTACTTTTCTGAGATGTCATGCATACAACAGAGCTACCGTGTAAGTGAGTGGACATGCACCAGCTGAGCCGTGAGCCCGAGGGTGAGCAGCTTTACGGGAAGCCACCACTGCCGGCTGAGGGACCACGTCCTGCCTGCATAACCAGCTGCATTGCCAGGCTACACCTTCGGGAGCACAAGAAACAGTGCTGGGAAAACCATTCCTCCTACCCAAAACACATCACCGTGCTTGTGCTTCAGGCTAAAAACAGCACCGGAAAAACCTCTCATCGGACCCCAGAACACATTGCTGTGTTTTGGGTTAAAAGGAAAGAAAAAGCTTGCAACAGGTATGCACTTATGCCAGTCACAGATGCCTGTGGAGGACCAAGTTCTATATACACACATCTTTATGCACATGCATGTATATGGATGTATATTTATCTATATATATGCATATATATTTTATATTTTCATATATATATGGACATTCCTGTTATTTTCAAACCAGGAAGGAACTGAAAATGTATTCAATGACATTTTTCAACACATCTGAGCAGGTCTGCGTTCCCAGGAAGTGAATGTGTCCTTAACTCTTGATGAGGGTTAACTAAAAAGCTTGATTACTTTCCAGTATGATAAGAGTTCAAAGACAGCTCAAAGCAGAGTTGTTATTTTGTGTTGAACGTTAGAGAATTTTATCATTTGAGAATGTTTCCCTTAAATGCTAACAAGGCCTAGGGCTTTTTTTTTTTTTTTTTTTTAAAAGAAAAGCTAGCTGAATAAATGTGGAATCACAATTCCAGTTACCAAATTCAAATAAACTCTTCAGGGAAATAAGATTAACATTTTTAAGTTAAACTCTATATTTATTTTCAAAAAAAAACAACAATAAAAGGTTTCCAGAAGCTGTATTTTCACTAAAAAAGACAACAAAGAAGGGCTATGACACAACAACTTTCAGTAGTACAACTTGCCTTTCTAAAGTAAAAATG